CCGCCGCCGCGCGCGCGAACGCGCTGACCGCGCGCCGCGCCCCCGGCGTCGCTACAGGGCGCGCCCCCGGCGGCGGCGCGCCGGCGCCGCTGGGCGGCGCGCGCTCGAGTGCCCAGGACTCGGTCTCGTCGTCCCACCGCGCGCGGGTCATCACTTTCTGCACCTCATCCTGCGGTGGCGGCGCGCGGCGATGACATGGCAAGTGAATTCGTCAAGGCGGCATGGTGAGACCAATCCAAAACACAAACCCAGTTTGGTGATACAAACAAGCGTTGTTGCGCCCACTCTGCTCCATCTGCACACCGCACCAAGTCGGCTGCCCTTGCCGCGCGCCCGCCGCCCCGCTGGCCTGAAGGCAGCTGCAGGGTCGCAGGCCGGCGCACGTACACACCGACGGCTGCCCAGGCTATCGCCGGATGGGCGCTTGGTGCGGCTGCGACCCTTCGTGCAACACACAGACAGGCCTGCCCGTGCCGTGGCGCTTCAATCATTTCATTAATAGCCCACCTCGGGCACAAACGCTTCAATGACTGTATCTTTCAGCAGCGCCTGCGGATGAGGGGGGTTTCGACTATTCAGGGTGCAGCAAATCTTCTCGTTTTGAGACAACGCAACGGCAGGCCGGCGGCCGGCGTGCCGATGGAATGAGCCCCTGCATCTCACAATGAACACCTGGCGCAGGCGCTGCTGTAGCTGCGCAGAGCCCTCGGGGCCGCCCCGCCATGGCGCCCCGCCGCGCGTGGGCCGGCCCGCGCAGCCGTCCTCAGCGCCGAGCGCTGCAGCAACTCTGACGGCTGCTGAGAGTTTTGTTGCTGCCGCAGCACCACCTGTGGTGACACCTTTGCTTTCATGACAGCAACCCGCGTTCAAGCACTCACTGGAAGTCGTGTGGTCACTCCCAGGCCCCTGCCCCCCAAAACCCGCACCTGTTGATCCAGCCGCCTCAGCCCCGCCAGCAGCTCCTCTTTTTCTGCCCCCCACTCAGACCACGCCTCTCCAATTTCACGGTCCAGGTCCTGCCATGGGGAGGTTTTGCAGGGTTTCTTCAATCGGGAAGGGGGTAAGAAAGCCTGGACTGGTTGAAAGGCAGCTCGACGGATTCACACAATAATGTCATCGGCGCTTTTCTCCATTCTGGATGCTCAGGTGGCGGCTCTGAGGCCCCTTCAGAGAGGTCGCGTTGCAGAGCGAGCCCTCGCGGCGAGCGCAGGGAGCACCCTGGCGCGGGCAGTGGTTCGGCCCAGGCGGCCCGGCTGCGACCTTTGGGATTAAGCAGAGGCGAGGGGCCGCCGCGGCCCACGGTCAAGCAAGCTCGGCTCAGAGGCTCCCGCACAATTGTGCGCGCGACGCGTCTGTCTTCATTGGCCCGCACCGCGATGCGCTGCAACAGCTTCTGCAGCCCGCTGAAAAGCCCCCCCTCACACACACACCCACACACGCACGCACGCACGCACGCACGCACGCACGCACGTGCACGCGCGCGCGTGCGTGTGTGTCTGCATTAGCCCGCACTGCGATGCGCCGCGCTAGCTTTTCGAGCTTCTTCGTCTTCGCCGCCGCCTCCTCGCTGAGCCCGCCGTAGCGCCCCTCTGCAGCCAGCGCGGCCTCCTCCAATTTGGTGATGTCCGCGCGCCGCCGCGCCTCCTCCTCGCGCCTGTTGGGGGGCGAGGGGGGGGGGGGCGCCGGGCGTGTTGGGCCGGAGGGTGGCATGAACGATGGGCTCAGTTCGGTCGCCGCAACGGGTGCATGCGGCAGATTGATGCACGCATGCAATGGCGCGGCGCTTTCTTGCACGCAACATGCAGTTGGCATGGTGCACCACCCACATCCCCCCCCCACAGACACACACACCTGCGCGCGATCTCGGCCTCGCGCCTCGCGATCTCCTCCTCCTTCTTGCGGGTCACCTCGAGCAGGCCGCCGCGCGCCTCCCCCTGCGCGCAGCGCGCCCAGGCGCGGGCCGGGCACGCGAATAAATCAAAACATGGATTGCAGGGCAGAGGTTGAGCTTTTTTGCAAGCCTGGGGAGCTGGGAGCTTGGGTTGCGGGCCTTGACCACTCTGTGTGTGTGTGTGTATGTTGAGTGGAAGATAGGGAGAGCTTGTGTTGAGTGGAAGATAGGGAGAGCTGTCCACTCCAAATGCATATCCAGACCCGCAGCTTCCTTCTCTGGTTGAGATCACCTTTCTTGGACCTCTCCTACCTGGAATTGTGGAAATTCGCTGTGGTATGTCGCAAGTCCCCGAACTGTCCTTGCTTCACCCATCCCGCCGTGCGCCACAACCACCCCGCCTGACACACAAGCATGCACACAACCACGCCCCCCAACTGAGCCCGACCTTGATGATCTTGCCCTCCATCGCCCTGAGCCGCGCCCTGAGCGCCTCCTTCGCCGCCGCCAGCTGCTCCCCCTCCTGCGCTTGGGCTGCCATCTTGTCCTGCGGACGTGCGTGTGTGCGTGCGTGCGAGCGTGTGTGTGTGTGTGTGTGTGTGTGTGTGTGTGTGTGTGTGTGTGTGTGTGTGTGCGTGTGTGTGTTTGTGTGCGCTCGCGTGCGTGCGTGCGCATTTGCTCAGCAGGCAGCAGAGCGCAGGCCGTTAGGAGGCAGGTGCGACACACCCTTCGGGGCACGCTGGCTGCTTCACATGCAAACCCAAAACAGCAGACACGCAATGCCGCTGCCGCTGCCGCTGCCATGCTCAACACCCACCTCCAGCTGCTTCTGCTTGCGCTCGTACTTTGCCGCCTCAGCCTGCGCCCGTCGCCGCTCCTCTTCCAGCTCAGCCGCCCGCGCCGCAGACGCGGCCGCGGCCTCGCGGCGGATCTGCGGCGCGCGTGCGAGGTTGGGTGTCGCGCCGCCGAGGTGACCTGGGGCTGACCGATGAAAATTTCTCAGGGGTGTCGTTCCCCCGAACCTCGTCCCTGCTCTGCCGAACCTTTGCTGGTGGCTGATATCGAGCGCCTGGCACTTTGCGCGTGCGTCGGTAACTATCCCTGCAGCTGCACCTGCATTTTACTGCCGTCCTGCTTATCCCAACAGAACTCCCTTAACACCCCTGACCCACCTGCTCCACCTCCTCCGCCGTCAGCGCCGCCCCCAGCCCCCGCGGCCCCTCCCCGCCGCCGCCGCGGCCGGCGCCGCCGTTGAAGCTTGACAGCCGCCCCTCCTTCAGCTGGCGCTTCAGGCTCGCCTCCATCTCGGCCCTCATGGCCGCGAGGGCCTCTGGGTCGAGCGGCTTGGGCACCTGCCGTCGCCAGTTCGGGTCGCATCCTCTCAAACCTTGCTTGAGGGTCGTGGAAACCCTTCCGCAGCAACTCCTGAAATGCTTGGCACTCGCAGCTTCAACCATGCCTGTGCGAATCAAGACGATGTGAAGGCCGCCACCGGCGAAGACGCCTAGCCCCTGGCACCGACTTCCCTCCAGCTCCTCTGCCCACCTCACCTGCACGACCCGCTCCAGCACCTCGCCGCCGTCGGGCCCGCCGACCGCCACGCCTCCGGCCTCTGCGCCCTGCGGCGGCGGGCCACGCCAGGCGAAGGGAGCGGGCATCGTTGCGTGGGCTTGCAAAACAGCGCGGGGTGGCGTACCCGCCGACAACGAAGCTGAGCAGGACGATGTCCCCGCGTCGTTATCCTGCCGTGGTTCCGGCCCCCTTACGCCCGGCCACCCTCGCAAGTCCAAGGTTGAGATCTGAATGATCTCGGGCTGAGAATCCACGCCCCCAACCCAAGCCCGACTTCACGATTGCCGTGTTTGCGGTGGGAGGCGCTCACTCTCAACGTCGAACACGCGACCTGGATCCCTGATCTCCCACGGCGGAGATCGTGCAACCTTGGACCCTCCCGGCCTCCGAGGCACTGCACAGAACCCTAAACCCCGCACCTCCAGCTGCGCCTTGAGCCGCGCGATCTCGTCCTGGAACTCCCGCAGCATGGCGTCCTTGGGGTCCTCGTTGACGCGCGGCTTGTTGGTGATTGCCTTGGCCCGGTGGGCGTACCTGGGGTTCGGGGTTTGGGATAGCCAGGTTTAGGGTTCGGATATTGGGTTTCGGGTGGCCGGGCGGCGGGCCCGCGTGCGAGCGCAGCCGTTGTACGTATGTGTGGCCCACACACGCCCTCACTGCGAGGCGGTGTCCCGGCCCACACCCCTCGGCGTCTGACGTCATGCTGACATCCACATCAACGTGTGACATCATGCTGACGCCCACCTCAGCGTGTGACGTCACGCTGACGCCCACCTCAGCGTGTGACGTCACGCTGACGCCCATATCAGCGCATGACATCACGCTGACACCCACCTCAGCGTGCTGAGTGTCTCGTCAAAGTTCCAGTCCGCCGGCCCCACGTTTGCGACCATCACCGTCTTGGTGTTGCCCCCCAGGCTGTCCTGCAGCAGCCGCGTCAGCTTGGAATCGCGGTAAGGCACGTGACCTGGTGGTGCAGGGAAGAACGAGCATCATGCAAGCGGAGGGGAGGGTGTGAGTGGTGGAGGTGGAGAGGGTGTGGGGGATTGAGGGGGATGAGGCGGTGGTGGTGGATGGCGGGGTAACGGAGGGTGTGATGAAGCTTTGGTGCTCGGGACAAGATGAGAAATTCCGTCCACTGTTCTGGAGTTCTGCAGCTGCCTGGCGTGGCGTTATCAGCACAGCGCTGTGCTCTGCCTTGAAATCCGCCCCCCGCCATTTCAAAAATGCCGCATGACTGCGCGATCGACAACGGTTGCTGTCGCATTTACATGGTGCAGCAGCTCACCGCTCTTGCCGTCGACCAGGGCGCTGATGACGTTGCCCAGGGCTGACAGGGACAGGTTGATCTTTGTCGCCTCCTTCAGCCGGTCGCCTGGAGAATTTATGTGCAGCAGCGGGGGTGCCGTTGGGGGCGGTGGCGGGAGGGCACTTCGCGAGCTGCTCTGGGGCGGCCTGGTAGGTGCAGCTTAGAGGAAAGAGCACCTGGCACGCCTTGGAGAGGCGCTTGCAGGCATGTACAAGCACGCGCGCGCGCGCACATACACACACGCACGCACGCACGCAAACAAAAACACATATACACACACTCTGAAATGCTCAGAGAGGGGGGAGAGGGACACATGAAAACAGTGGGAGAGACACAGCCACGCCGCACGCCGGCCTGCACAGACACCTTGAGCGCTGGCTGTCACCTGTCGCGCCGGTCTTGGACTGCCTCTCGCTGCCGGCCAGATCCACCAGGTTCAGCTTGCCCACTCGGATGTGCCCGTCCTGTCGGACAGATGCAGGGGTAGGTGCAAAGGCTGCAAAATGATTGAACGACCATGCGAACGTTGGTGTGTAAGGCGAGCAGGCGCCCCGTCGCAGCAAAGTGCTGCGACGAGTTAACAGGGCGGCCGCTTGAGAGGGCGCGAACGGCTGGCAGCCCGCCGTCGCCTGCCGCGCCGAGTGGAGGAGGAGACCCCGCCACGCAGGCGGGCGCCAAAATCAGCCGGGGCTCACCGCCGCGGGCCCCTGCTCCACGCACTCCACTGTGATCGAGAAGACGCTGTGGGAGCGGCTGCTGTCCTGGTTCATCAGGGTGGCCCCCACGCTGCGGTTCTTCTTGCCGACCTGGAGTGGGAATGTGGAGCACCACGAGCTCGTGTCAAGAACTCGTGGCCGCCCAGGATTTCTTGCGGGCAAGGGCTGACGCAATTGGGGCTGTGAGCCTATGCATGCCTGCCGCATCCGATTAGACTTTCGCAGCACTCCATCAAGCAACAGCAGTCCAGGGAGGGGTTGTCGCGCCACTTCTTTGCAGCTGCAGCTTGCGTTGCCCGAAGCCGCAGCTCGGCTGTTCACGTTTAAGGCGGCGCATGGTCCTGCCGCCCCGGCCCGACCCCGCCGCAGGCCGCAGGCAGCGAGCGGCGGCGCCGCCGCCCGAGCCGCCTCATTGAGCAGGGTCCGTCCCCGCGCCGCACCTCGAGCACGTTGCGCATCTCTGCCACGCTCTTGACCACAAACGCGTTGAGCCCCTTCACATACACCCCAGAGTCCTTGTGCTCCCGCAGCTCCAGCTTGTCCTTTGGGCTCTTACTAAGCAGATCCCTGATCTCCTCGTTGTAGATCTCGAGGAAAGACGCGCGCACGAGGTACTGCTTGTTGGCGCTGCCTTGGATTGCGTTGAAGATGTGCTCAAAGGAGTTAGGGATGATGCCTTGGAGTTCTGTGTCGCCTGCCACACCCTCCATGGTGTGCGTCTTCCCGGTGCCCGTCTGCCCGTACGCGAATATCGTGCCGTTGTATCCAGCAAGCACGCTGTTCACGATGCCCGCCGCCGCGTCCTCGTAGACGTCGCGCTGGCGGCTGCCGCAGTCAAAGGTCGCGTCAAACGTGAACGTCTTTGGCGCGTCGCCCGTGTCGCCGCCGCGGAGCGTGATGCCGGCATGCTGGCTGTCGACGTCCACGATTTTCTGGCGGCCCTCTGCTGTTTCTTTTGAGTTCAAGGGCCTACAGCGGACCACCACGCGAACGCACTCACTCGAGGCGGGCGCCATCGTGGCGGGTTGAGGGGTTGGGCCCTGCTACCGTATCATACCGTATCGGTATATCACGCAGTATTGTAAGCGGTGCTTTGAATGTCTGTGTTGTAAATACACATCAAAATGACCAGAACCCAGCGTGATCTGACTTCATCTGTTGTCTGTACAAAATTACACGAGCCGCAGCCAAAGCCACGCTCCTTGCGGCAGCATGCCGTTCACAGGAGCTCCCGCGCCAGGAACGCCGCCAGCTCCTCCTCCTCCTCGTCCCGCGCGCTGCGCTCCTGCACCACGCGCCGCTTCGGCAGCGCGCTGCGCGGCATCGGCGGCTTGCCCGTCTTCTTGAACACCGGCGCGGCCGCGCGCTCCAGGGCGCGCTGCACGCGCGCTTCATGGTCCTCTGTCTGTGTGCGCAGCTTCTCCTCCCTGCGGGATGGGCGGTTTAGAGTGGGAAGCAATCGGCGCGGGGCATTGTGGTGTCGCCACCCGCCTTTGCGCTCCTGTCGACCCTGCGGCGGCTCCGCGCCAGCCAACCAGGGTGTGTGCGCGGCAGGCAGCAGAACTACAGGGGTACAGCTGCCCGCGTGTCCCCCCCCAACAAGTTGCGCTGTCAGCAGCATGCAGCCGTCCAAAACCGAGCACCCTATACGCTTCGTTGAACCCCGCCCGCGCTCGCGCGGCTTGCGCGGCTGCACACCTGGCCACCTGGCGCCGCTCTTTCTCCCGCGACCGCTCCACATCAGCAACCCACTCTGCCGGCATGGGCTCCACCTAAAATCGACAACGGGGGCGACACACAGCGGGCCCAGGCACGGTTGGGGGTGAGCTCAGGCGATCGCGCCAAAACCAGCACCGCTTTTAAGCTCTCAGAAGTTGCATCGCCCATGCCGAGCGGGATTTTTTCGATAGGAGGGTGGTCGAAGATCAGCTGCCGTCCCGGATGGGCTCTGAGGGTGCTGCACGCGCCGGGAGCAATCCAACCCCGCCCCACGGTGCCTATGCGGCAGGCAGCGGAGCACGGGGCTGCGGCCTCGCTCTTGCCGCGCGCGCTCGAACCCGCCCCTCAAGACTCCATCAAGCAAGATCAAACTTCCAGGCTTCATAACAAGCCCCCAAAACGCCCATCCCGGCTCCTTGAAGCTGCGTGAGGGTCGATGCAAGTCAGCGCGGCCGCCCCCCGCACCTGCGCCAGGCACTCCTGCAGTCGAACCTCCATCGATGTGAGCATCTGCAGCATCGTCAGGGACGCATCAGGGTCGAACCCGCACCTGCAGGACGGCGGGGTGTGTACGTGGGTGCGTGCGTGCATGTGTGTGTGTGTGTGTGTGTGTGTGTGTGTGTGTGTGTGTGTGTGTGTGTTTGAGTGTGTGTGCGTGCGTGCGTGCATGCGTGCACAAGCGCAAGCACGTGCGCGTGCACGGGGAAGGCGTGGGGGGTGGAGTGGGGGCGGTGATCAAGGGGTGCGGCTGGAGTTGCGAGGTTTCTTGCAGCTGCCAGACAGGGCATGCGTGAAAACAGCTCTGCCAGCGCCGTCCCTCGTGACGGCACCGCATGATCGTACTGCCCCGCCACAGCCCTTTGCTTCCCCTTCCAAGCCTCGGCTGTCCACCCTCGCCCCTACGCCGCCACCACACTCCTGCTTGCAAACTAGCAAAATTCCTTCAGACCACGCTAAATCGCGCTCAATCTTTGGCCCCCAGCCACCTGCAAATGTCCTTGCCCACCTTTGCTCAAGTAGCCCTTGCTGACTCACCGCCCTTTGAACCTTTCAGCAAGCAACCAAAAGGCGGTCAAAACAGAAAGATCCAGATTCAACCCACCTGCCATATACTTCAGCCACCTTTGACCCCAGCTCGTCCAGCGTAGGCCCCTCCCCCGCCCCGACGCCCAGCGCGAGCCGCGGCGCGCCGGAGCCGCCCTGCGGCGCGCGAGCGGCGCGGGCCGCGGATGGGCGTGCGGCCGTCACAGCGGCCGCGGCAAGGGCGGCGGCGCGGCAGGCACCGCCGGCTGCCTCTGCAGGCTGCCCCATCCCGAAGGTCCTCAGACACATGATGCATAAACAACACGGCCTTTGGCCATTCATGACATTCTTCCACCATAACAGGCCGCTCCAAGCATGCAGACGGCACAGCCGCCCGCAGTACCGACCCTGCACCCCTCCCCCACGCCCGCGCGCCCCACAAAGCCGCACCTCCGTCGCGCGCTCCCGGAGCCGCTCCGCCCGCGCGTGCGCGGCGGCGACCCTGCCCTCGAGCCGCGTGATCTGGCCTTTCAGGGCATCAACCTCTGAATCCGCCTTTGCCACCGCCGCCCTGTGGCGGGCCTTGACTTCCTCCAGCTGCTCCTCGGCTTCCTAGGGGTTGACGCGATAATTATGGCCAATAAATATCTGAAATTTGGGGCTGATTGCTATTGTTGCGGGGTGGCTGGTGCCAAACAGCCCCATGGTCACAAACATATGGGATGATAAGTCTCTCCTATGTACCACCCTGGCAAGTCGGCTTGCTCGCAGGCAAAACGTCCACCTGGCAGTCAACAGCAGGAACCTGCGGGGTCGGGCACAAGGTGCGATCCTGCAGTGTACGAAACCCCCACCTGGCAGTTTTGTATGAGGAAGAGGTTGTCCTCCTCAAGCTGGCTGAATACGGCCAGCAGCTGCCGGGGGTCTGAGGGCAAGCACAGCATGCGATCGTATATATTCAGGTGTAATTTGTATATGGAAACCATGTATATACATGTGACGGCGGTGGTCTGACGGGGATCAAAACAAGCATTGCAGTCAGGGGCCAAAGTGCATGGCAGGTGGGGGAGGAGCAATGTCCCAAAAGGTTGAGGAGCCCAGATGCCAGCAGCAATCCGAGCCGCCGCCGACTCCCGCCATTGCCTGCGCTGTCAAACCAAGGCTTGTGTCGCCCCAAAGCACACGAACTCGCCCACCGACACAACCGCAAAACACTCACTCTTGAAGTGCATGGTCTCATCCGATGCGTCATCAGCTGCCTCCAGTGCATCCAGGTCCGGCCGCGGCGCCTCCTTGGCACGCAGTGCCTCCTGTTGGGGTGCATGTTAGTGTGTTTTGGGCTGGTCCGCGACGCGGCTGCATTGATTGGCTTGTATTGAGGAGTGATGAGGAAGTGATGCAGCTGGTTGTTCCACCCTGTGCAAGCGTCCAAGGAAGCTGCCGCCCCACAATTCACGCGTTGCCATCAGTCACGAGTAAGAACGTGTCCCGCGACGCCTCACAACATCCTCCAGAACTCCCTCACCGCCCTGGTGCCCTGGCCCGCCCATGAGTTCCCTCACGCCAACACGCCACAGCCACCGCATCCTCCCTGACCAGCGGTCCATATGTATCACAGGGACCTCTGCACCCCAACACCACCCAAAATCCACAAGTCTGAGCAACCGTCGACTGCATGGCCGCCCGCCTCCCACATTTGAATCAAAGCCCTGAAGCTGTACCACCCCTGCAGCCTGGCCCTCTTACAGTGCCAAATGCTGCTCCCACGCATTGCCGCGCAACAACCTGGCCACCGCATCACGCCTCCGCCCCCCCAAAAAACCCACCTTCAGCTCCGCCGCTGCCTCCTTGACCGCCCGCTCTGCCCGCTCCGCCTCCTGCTGTGTGCGCGCGCCGCTGAACGCGGCTTCGGCCCGCGTCTTCGCCAGGTAAGCGTCGTCCCGCCGCCGCGCGACCGCCGCGCAGCCCGCCTGCCACGCCGCCAGCCGCGCGGCGCGCCTGGCGGTCGACCGAGCGTTGACCGGGGGTTGACCGAGCTTGGACGGAGGTTGACCGAGCGTTGATTGGGGTCGAGTCAACCGACGTTGACCGGGGGTTGAATGGGTATCAACCAAGACGAGCAACATGCGGGTCAACCCTTGTGACGTACTGTCTGGCCCGAGCCGTGAACACCCGTCAAGCTCGTCCCGGCACGAGACACGTCCGCCCGCGCCCCCCAGCTTTCCCAGGCGCATGGCGCCTTCCCTCGCGTCCTCAAGCCGAGCTGCCGGCTCAGGCCTCAGGCACCTTGGTCCCAAGAGATCGAAACGGAAAATCGACGCTAGAATACGTGGTGGCGCTGATGAAATACATGAACCGAATATTTGATGAATGGCCAAGCCGGGTCCCACCTCTCCTGCCTGGCTGCCGCCAGCTTCTCAAAGTGCTCCTGGGGGGTCACGCTGTCCAGGAAGCCCTGGTACCTGCCGCAGGGCAGTTTTTTGGGGAGGATGAGATGGGAGTTTTGGCGCGTGATGAGATTTTGCGTCGTGTATGTGTGTGTGTGTATGTGTGTGTGTGTGTGTGTGTGTGTGTGTGTGCGTGCGCGCACGTGTGTGTATGTGTGCACCCATGCACGTGCTACAGCCGGCTTGGTCAAGCTACTCCATCTCATACCCACGGACACCCCCTACCCCCCCACCCCACCCTACGACCCCGGCCCCGCTGCCCTGCCCTCTCGCCTGCCGCAGTCCGCCAGTGCCTCCTCCTTCTTGCCCAGCTCGCTCCTCAGCGCCGCGATGGCCCCGTTCAGCCGCTTAATCTCGGCGACCCGGTCAGCCTTGGCCTGCCGTCATCGATGACCCATATAGTACACGCGAGTCCATTCAGCGGGGCGTGCTTGTGGTTGACAAGACAAACGACAATGTATGCAGAGCTGGGACATGGCCGCTGCACCAACCCCGGCAGTCCGCCCTGCCCAAAGCACGCGGCAACGGCGCTCGCTCAGCGCGAGCGACGGCGGCCCCCTGCCACCCTGAATTTCCCCCAAATCGAAACCCTGGGCGGCTCATACTGAGAAGCGGTAAGTTGGCCCAGCACCGCCGCACCTTGGCCTCCGCCTCGGCGCGCCGAATGGCCTCCTGGACCTTCTCGTCATTCTCCTTCAGAAAGGCGTCAAACCTGGGGGCAGCCGGCGGGCAACGCAGGGGTTGATGAAGTTGAAGAAAACGGCTGCTCAGCTGCCGGGGTGAGAAGTGGGGATTCTGGGGCGCTGCGCCAGGCCAGGCGCTCTGCCTCAGCAGGATGAGGGGGAGCGGCGCCAAACAGGATGGGGGGGTCCAATTGCGGCCGGCAACGTGCCGTGCCGGGTAAGCCGGCTGGCGTGGAAGGCGGCAGGGAACCGGGGCCGAGGCCGCTGCGCGGCCTGCGGCGGGCCAGGCGCCAGGGCCTGGCCCTCGCCGGCGGAGCGCAGCAGGGGGGGTTGCAAGGATACTCCCTGGCCCTGGGCCGAGAGCCTTTGAGACATCCTCCACAACCTCTGTGCCGGAGCACAAACACACACACACACACACACATACACACACACGCGCGCGCGCGCGCGCGCACACACACATGTCTACACAAACATCCACACGCACAGCCACGCAAGACGGCCCTGTTGCAGCCATCAAGAAAAGGGGCACACCTGACTGCATCTTCCTCCAACATAGCTTCACTCTTGGACAGGGCCTCGGCCCTCTGTCAAACATCATCAGGAGGCAGGGGGCGCATGCAACATATGAGGCTCAGCGCAACCACGGCCGCCGCAGGCCCCGCACGTCGCGGGGCCAACAAGCGTGTGCAATCAGCAGCGACGAGGAGAACGCAGGGGCCGGGCGGCCGGACGTTCCCAAAAGAAGAGCTCAGGCATGACGTTGCTGACGAAAAACCGTGGACGCCCTCATATGGGCGGCAGGTGGCGCCCCAACATGTTACGCCTGTCACTGCCCCGACAACGCGTGCACCTGCCGCGCCCGCTCCTCCAGCTTCCGAATCTCGGCCCTCTTGGTGTCAAGCGACATCTGATCCAGGAGGCGGTTTGGGTGTCTAATCATCGGTGGGTGCAAAGACGCCACCCCGCATCGCAGGGCGCATCGCAAGCAAGGGCGTCGGCCGGCGAGCCGGGCACCCCTAGCAGCTGGGGTCTTCGCGTGATACTGTACCCAACTTGGCCCAACCCTGGGCGCATCCCCTTTCATAGCCAGCCCCGACAGACACTCCAACACCGCGCCGGCGCCGGCCGCAGTGGGGGGTCCCCACCCGATGCGCGCCAGCTGCCCTCGCCTGGCTGCCACAGACAGCGGTGGTAAGAGGATGAGTTTGACAAACACCCTTATACTTGAGCACACCTGCACGAGAAAAATCTGCCGCTTCTTGGCTAGAAAATCGTGGAGGTTCTCCCGCACAGTGTGACGCCGCGCCGGGCATGCCGCCGCCGCCAACGTAGCCGCCGCCGCCGCCGCCGCGCC